AGAAATGACAGCAGCCTGTATATTCATGTTATTATATGCGATTTAAGCCCCCTAGTTCTAACCTATAGAGTTCTTGCTAAAGTAATGTGCGATTAGGCCCTTCTTCGACCGCTACTCGGCAGTTCTCTTCTTAGCATCAGAGGTTCAACTTGCATTCCTCCATCCAGCATAGGTGGCATTAAATCCTGGTGAAGAGGCTGAGCTCTATTTTAGATGGGTTTACATATAAGCTGTCAATATATGCACACCTCGATAGTTTAACAAGAGCTCCTTGCATTTGATCTAAGCCTATTTGCAGAAAATTAAATGTCTAAAAACAAGTCGCGTTCGAATGTTGGTAAAATCCCTTGAATAATGATTTAGCTAGATTCCTAGTTTCAATAGCTCAGCCCGAAAGAGAAATCATAAATTTTTAAAAGTTGGACAGATCCATACGGATTCAGAGGTTGTTATACGAGTAAAACTCCCTTCTAAAATGCATAATTAATGTATTTACTCTCAGTTTTCAGATAATGTCCAATTCGAACATATGTCGTTTGTGTCAAGCATCCTGCGACGACAGAATCCGACTGTTCAATGTGAATGGCGATGCAACAGAAATATACATCATTGCTTTAAAATTCTTCCATCCAATGGTAATTGTAGCACAATAAAATAAAAAAAAAATAATAAAAACTATTAATTTAAAATCCGATTCATATACAAAAAAATATTATTTTCAGTTTTTCGAAATTGATACGGGAATCCAAACTGCCACTGCAGTTCTGTGTGCCGACTGTTGGCATCACATTTCAAGTTTTAATAATTTTCAACAGACTGTTGTTCTAATACAAGCTAAACTTCCGGCAGCAGCAGAAAATGTTAAAAAGTCAAATGCCAATGGGAATGAACCCATGCAACTTGAAGGAAGAACCATTAGTGATCTGGATATCAAGCCAAATCCTGAAATTATAATACCAGATTATGTGCTACATGAAGAACGAAATGTTATACAAAATGCAGAGTCCGAACAAGTGCCTATCACAGATTATAATGTCAAATCTGAAATCTGAGTTTGAATAAACCCCAAACGTTTGACATTGACACAAGTGCGGAGAGAGATAAAACTGATTCCTTTCATGAAGACAACAATGAAGAAACTGTCACTGCCGATGAATGGAATAATGAGACTGAACGCTTAAACAACTCCATTAATCAAATGAGCAAATCTCCTCAAATGCACGAAACAACCGAAAAGAATAACGAAGAGATAGCTGATGACGGTTTGCTGTGTTCTGTGTGTGGCCTTTGTTGTGGCGATGAAACGACCCTCTTGGAACACAGCACTGATCATATTGAAAAAAATGTCACCAATAACTGCAGATTCTGTGATCGAACATTCAATGGTAAATACGGTTTGTATCAGCACATAGCTCTCAGTCATCCGGGTGAAGAAAAACCGAGAGTTGTGATCAGAAAATGTCGTATATGCCCCAAGAACTTTTCAGATAAAAGTGAGCGACTTAAGCACGAACAAAGAACTCATCCAAAGGAATGCGAAAAATTTAAGAGAAAGCGGCGCAGAGTAAAGAAACCAGAAAATTTCATAGTTTACTGATTTATTGTGATTATAATAATAAGTTTATGAACAGAAAAAAACATTTTTTTTTTAATAATATAATTATATATGTATATGGGAGCTATATCTCAATTTGAACCGATTCTCACCAATTTCAATAGGGTTCGTCCTTGGGCCAAAGAAATATTGTTTGGAAAATTCCATCTCAATCGGATAATAAACGTGACCTATATTTTGTTGACAAAAATACAAGGACAGACGGACTGACACGCTCAAATTGACTCAGAAAGTGATTCTATGAAGATCCTCAAAATTATCTATGAGTCTATCTCGCTTCCTTCTCCATGTTTTTTGGATGTTTTAGTGACAATTTTGATCCGAATTTGCTTTAAATTGGCAGCATGTGTTCCTAGTATGTAAGAAACATCCCTGCTTAGAGTTGATCATATAGGTTCAAATTTTGCTATAGTCCCCATATTGCTATACCTCCATATATTTCGTATTTTTCTGATTTGTGTCACACTTTTCAACAAAAAATTTTCAAATTTTGAATTTGAAGTTCCTAATGGGTGCTACGTTCAATGACAAACAAGTAAAAAAACATTAAGTTCAGTCGGGCCAAACTTTTAATACCCTCCACCTTAGGGAAAAGGAAACATTAAAGCCCATTATGAGCTACATATACCAATTTTTAGACATATTCATGGGAAAATGTGCCAAAAATTATCAAAATTCCGAATATCGGGAAATACGGCTATATGAGGCTATACCAAAACGTGGACCTATAATTACAATGTTTCACTACACAAACTAGGACCCATTAGGACCCACAAATACCAATTTTTAGACAAATCAGTGAAAAAATGTTGCAAAAACCATCAAAATACCGAATATCGGGATGTACCGTTATATGGGGGCTATATCAAATCATGGACCCATGCATGCAATGTTTCGCCACCGAAGCTGGAACCCATTATGACCAACAAATACCAATGTGGCAAAAAATGTGGCAAAAATCATCAAATTACCGAATATCGGGAGGTACCGTTATATGGGGGCTATACCAAAACGTGGACCTATAATTACAATGTTTCACTACACAAACTAGGACCCATTAGGACCCACAAATACCAATTTTTAGACAAATCAGTGAAAAAATGTGGCAAAAACCATAAAAATACCGAATATCGGGAGGTACTGTTATATGGGGGCTATACCAAATCATGGACCCATACATGCAATGTTTCGCCACCGTAGCTGGAAACCATTATGACCCACATATACCAATTTTTAGACAAATCCGTGAAAAAATGTGGCAAAAAAAATTAAAATACCGAATATCGGGAGGTACCTTTATATGGGGGCTATACCACAACGTGGACCTATACATGCAATGTTTTGCCACACGCTCAGGGACCCATTATGACCTACAAATACCAATTTCCAGACAAATCCGTGAAAAAATGTGGCATAAATCATCAAAATACCGAATATCGGGAGGTACCGTTATATGGGGACTACACCAGAACGTGGACCGATATATCTCATTTTCAATACCAACCATCCTAGACACAATGCAAATAGCTCTGCTAAATTTTGACGCTCTACGTCAAATAATGTGGGCTGTATCGTGATTTCAACAGACAGACGGACAGACAGACGGACAGACAGACGGACAGACAGACAGACAGACAGACGGACATCGTTAAATCGACATAGAATTTTATGCTGATTATGAATATATATATATACTTTATGGGGTCTAAGACGAATATTTAAGGATGTTACAAACGGAATGACAAAGTTAATATACCCTCCTTTCCAAGGTGGAGGGTATAAAAATATGAAAAAATAAAAAAATGTCACAAAATACTACAAAATCTATATTAACATCTTTATTGGCATATTTTTATGCTATTTTTTTAGAATTTATACTTTTAAGCCAAGAGGGCATTCTGAATTGAAAAAAATTGTCAAAATCGCTCCAGCCATTCTTGAGATATAAGCATTATAGCTAACATCTCCTTCCTTTGTACATACACATTGTTTATATTTCGCTGTATAGACCCGATATATTTATTATCGGCATCGACGTAACAGTCAGAATTGACCTGTTCGTCTATTTGTGATTTCGTCGGGATTAAAAATATTCGCGATTTAATGGGAATTTTGACTTTTATTTCACCCACTAAATATTACCAGATGACCATCAAAATTGGAAAACTTCTAGCCACCCCTAAGCTCTAGCCCCATGCTAACTTTCGATTGGTCCATAATTGCGACCTTTACAGCAACTGCAAAATCAGGAAATTTTTCAGTTTTTGGTCCATTCCAATCCCTAAATATTATGCGATCATCTTCAAAAGCGATACAGTTCTATTCTGACCGGGGTTATGGTCAGAATAGAACCTCCATTTTCAATTTCATGAGGATCGGACCATAATTGCGACCTGTAGAGTGATTACAAATTAACATGGACAGACGGACGGACGGACATACATAGCTAGATCGACTCAGCTCGGCGAGATAGGAAGATCCATATATAACTTCCTATGTGGGAAACCAATATTTCGAGGTGTTACATAATTTTTGGCCCAATCAAACTTATAATACCCCCAACACATAGTGTTGTACGGTATAAAAATAACAACCGATAACTAACAGGACCAAGTTTTCATATGGTGAAGCATATAAAAATGTGGCACAACCGAACTTAATGTTAAAATGAAATCTCTCTCTCTCGTGCTTGGTCTTCTCTTAAACACTATAAATGCCAGCAATGTTATAAAGCTTGTTGATATTTTCAAATGCAATAAAATATTTACAGGCAAGCCAAACACACATCTGTTCATAAAGAAATATGTCTGTTCGTACTATGGGCAATACTAACAGGCAAGTTGTTGGAGTTGTCAAATAACGTCGGGTTAGGCGCATTCACGCACTGAACGTACGAGTATTCTAGGAAGATTTTGAAGAAAACTGTTGAGGACGTTGTGGGGAAAACTGTCAAAATATTATAAACATATATTTATTTACAATTAAATTACGTTTCCGATTGATATTAAATTAAAAATATTTATTTATTTGCGTTCGAGAATGAGCAGCTCGGTCGTCAAACTCAATTCTCTCATTATCAATGAGAGACGGGAATATGTCTATACCTTTATTTGTTTTTGACATGACTTGTGGTCATTGTCATTCCATAGACTGGACCAACCCTGGGCACTATATGGAATAAATAATTTTGTTTACACCCATAGCGAGTGTGTACTAATCTAATAGTACCAATTAATAGTTTTATGATTTTTGGTAGTTGCTAATTTGATACCTACGTTCCATAAGTTCCTCTATGGAGTTGAATTGCAGAAAATATGGTGTGTATAAAATTTTATTTTTTATTTTACATCCATATGTACATATGTATGGACACACAAAAACTAGATGATTTCTCGTGCACACGAGAGGTTTGTGTTAGCTAAGGCATCGCACCAGTTTTCTAACAACAGCGAACCAGTCTGCTTGTGTCTTTTCTGTGTGTAAAACTGTTTGTGAAAAATACGGAAGATTGGTGCAATTGTTGTAATCTGAATGTAAGTATTTATATATTTGTGGCTGTTTTCTTTTCGAACACAAGAATTTATTTTGTTATGTGCCCGCTTGTCTCACCATAGTTTCTTTTTGATTTCAATTAGTGTGTACAGACGAATATGTCTGTAAGTTGTATATAACCCTTTGTTGCTGGCTCTCTACGCAATTGATTTTAGGCAGAAATAACAAATTGTACAGTACGTTATTGTCTTATCGAATACTTCCACTTGCGTTCGCTTAGAGAAAACACACGTTTTAAATGTTAATGCTGTGGTTGAGAGACGATTTGATGAAAAATTCCGTGGAATCAAAATGAGTACAAAAGTCTGAAGTACTCTCAGTAGAGTTGCCATTACAGCGAATATAAATAACAACATTGAAACCTATCAGAATGCCAACATAAACTACAACTAATGCCGTACCAATGGTGTACAAAGTGACGCTTTCCGTTAGTTCGTAGATTCCATACCGGATTTAAAACAAATCCGGTCGTGAGAAGATCTACTTTTGTATGGTAAATCTTGGTGATTAAATCCAGATTAAGTAATAAATCCTGCTAATATGAGGTAATCTGGATAACTTTTTATACCCTCCACCATACTATGGAGGGTATATTAATTTTGTCATTCCGTTTGTAACTCCTCGAAATTTTCATGTCAGACCCAACAAAGTATATATATTCTTGATCAGCGTAAAATTCTAAGACGATTTAGCCATGTCCGTCTGTCTGTCTGTGTGTCTGTCTGTCCGTCTGTCTGTCTGTCTGTCTGTTGTAATCACGCTATCTTTCGAAAAAATTGAGATAGAAGGCTAAAATTTTGCACACATGTATTTTTTCCCAGTAGGCAGGTTAAGTTCGTAAATGGGCCATATAGGTCCAAGTTATTATATAGCCCCCATATAACGGTACCTTCCGATATTCGGTATTTTAATGATTTTAGCGACATTATTCACCGGAATTATTTCAAATTTGGCATTTGAAGTTTGTAATGGATGCTACAGCCTAAGACAGAAAATTATATGTGCAGGTCCACGTCTTCCTGTAGCCCCCATATAACGGTACCCCCTATATTCGGTATTTTGATGATTTTAGCTACATTATAAACAGATTTTTCTTCAAGTTTCGCATTTAAATATTGTAATAACTTATGACAAAGTTGCCTATGCAGGTCTATGTCGTCGTATAGGCATTCGATATTTTTAAGATTTTAACAGAATTTTCTACGGACTTTATTTATTTACTATTAATAATTTTTTTTTTGTTTTGAAATTGCCAAATTTGTACCAAGTTGTGGAGGGTATTAAAAGTTCGGCCCGGCCGAACTTACTGCTTTTTTACTTGTTTTTAACTGATCCTGTGTTGATAGAAATATTCAGATGTGCCAAGTCTAAACGGAATCAGATGTTAATTTTACATTTTATGAGCGTAAGGGATATTTAAAACTTCGACCTTTGTGGGAGAGGTACCAGAAGGAGTGGACCGATATATCCCATCTTAGCACCAGACCTTTGGTTAATATAGATATTGGGATGTGTGAAATTTGAAGACAATCGGTCTCTTACATCACATTTTATGAGAGTTGTAATTTTTCAAAATTTTGACAATTAGTGGGGGAGGTACTTGATGGAGAAAAATCGGATTATACTATCCATTACTGTGCAAAAAATATTTTTTTTTTTGAAAATTTCGACCTTTTGCTAGGAAGGTACCAAAAGGGGTGTCCCGGGATTGCCCATCTCCGAACTCGATCTAAGTTTGACAATAATATTAAGATGTACTAAGTTTGGATAAAATTGGATACTCCCTTCGAGAGTTATCGTGCGCACCAGCCAGACAGACAGACGGACGGACGGACATCGCTAGATCGGCTCCAAATGTTCTGAAACGGATTTGGTCCAAAGAGACCTAGGGTCTAAAATCGTTATTTCGCTAGGCACGTTTTGACCGTATCAAATGATATATACCCTCTGTAGCCATATGGCTGAGGATATAATAAAAATTTATTTTTCATATAAGCGAAATTGGGCCCCTGATATTAACTAAACCAAAAGTGCTAGTAAGCCCTTCCATAATACTTGATACTTCCGAAAAGTTAAATTTTTTGCAAAACATTTATTTCGCAGTACGGAATATATATCATGGTACAATTACCAAGGTTATCCCATGCTATCATACGAATACAATTTCTTTATACCCTCTATCATACATAGTATGGTGGGTATATTAAGTTCGTCATTCCGTTTGTTTTAGCCATCTTTTTCAACGGAATTGTCTGAAAATTGATACAAGAAGTTCCTTCTGAGTACTTTATCCCTTAGATGAGAATTGTCTATATTGGTTCACGATATCGTATAACCCCAAAATATAACCGTGCTCCCGATATTCGGCATTTTTATGACAGTAGCCAAATTTTTCAATCGAATTGTCTGAAATTCTACACAAGGAGTCCTTTGTGGGTACTTTGACCCCAGGAATATAATTGTCTATACAGGTCCACCATATCGTATATCCCCCATATAACGGAAGCTCCCCATATTCGGTATTTTGATGATTTAAGCTGCATTTTTCAATGGAATTGTCTCAAAATCCGCAAAAGAAGATCCTTCTGAGTACATCCTGGAAGAAAATTGTCTATATGGGTCCACAATACCGTATATCCCCCATAGAACGTTACCTCCCTATATTCGGTTTTTTAATGATTTTATTCATATTTTCTAATGGAATTGTCTAAAAATCCACATAAGGAGTTCCTTTTGGTGTTATATCGGGGACATACGATATCGTGGACCAAAAGGAACTTCCCGATATTCTGTATTTTCATGGTTTTTGCGACATTTTTGACCGGAATCGTTTCAAATTTCGTATTTATAGTTTGAAGCTCGAATGACGACAAATTGTTTATGTATGTCAACGTCTTTGTATAGCTCACATAGAACGGTACCCCCTCTATTCCGTATTTTGATGATATTAGCAACATTATTCACCCAAATTGTTTCAAGTTTGATAATATTAGCGACATTATTCAAAGAAATTGTTTCAAATTTCGTATTTAAAGCTCCGAATCGGTACTACAGCCTATGAAAAAAAAAAAAATAATTTTGCAGGTCCACATCTTTGTATAGCCCCCAACACTCATTTAAGTGGTGTTTTTCGACGATTTTTTTGTAAAGATTTTCAACTTCCTTTAAAATTTTTTATTGGGTTTTTATTTTACACCCCTTTTATGTTTTGTAGTTCCTTTTCAAATATTGGCGTACATAAGGAAGAATTTTGCATTTATTTATGACCAAATATTGACAAAAGTCAAGGTAGAATATAAAATAAAACTGAAAACTAAACAAGTAAAAAAACATTAAGTTCGGCCGGGCCAAACTTTTAATACCCTCCACCTTAGGGTAAAAGAAACATTAGAAGAAATGTGGCAAAAACCATTAAAATGCCGAATATCGGAAGGTACCGTTATATGGGGGCTACACCAAAACGTGGACCTATAATTACAATGTTTCGCCACACGAACTAGGACCCATTATGACCCACAAATACGAATTTTTAGATAAATCAGTGAAAAAATGTGGCAAAAATCATCAAAATACCAAATATCGGGAGGTACCGTTATATGGGGGCTATACCAAATCATGGACCCATACATGCAATGTTTCGCCACCGGAGCTGGAAACCATTATGACCCACAAATACCAATTTTTAGACAAATCCGTGAATAAATGTGGCAAAAAAAAACTAAAATACCGAATATCGGGAGGTACCGTTATATGGGGGCTATACCACAACGTGGACCTATACATGCAATGTTTTGCCACACGCTCAGGGACCCGTTATGACCTACAAATACCAATTTCCAGACAAATCCGTGAAAAAATGTGGCATAAATCATCAAAATACCGAATATCGGGAGGTACCGTTATATGGGGACTATACCAGAACGTGGACCGATTCATTTTCAATACAACCATCCTAGACACAATGCAAATAGCTCTGCTAAATTTTGGCGCTCTACGTCAGATAATGTGGGCTGTATCGTGATTTCAACAGACAGACAGACAGACGGACAGACAGACAGACGGACATCGTTAAATCGACTTAGAATTTTATACTGATTATGAATATATATATACTTTATGGGGTCTAAGACGAATATTTAAGGATGTTACAAACGGAATGACAAAGTTAATATACCCTCCTTTCCAAGGTGGAGGGTATAAAAATTAGTCTGATAAGTCATGTCAACCTTAATTATGGAATAGTTGAATTTTATCTCTCTTGGGACAAGTATGAAGACAGTATCATAAATATTGATTTTATTTCAAAAATGACAACGTCAAGTTCTTCAGAAAAGGGTTGCAATATTCAACTCAGCAAATGAGTTTACCTCTCTTATTTTGCTATAATCAGCGTTGCTCAAAAAAAACATCTCTTTCCAGTCAAATTTCTCTTTGTTTATTTAAATCAAGAACAAAACAGTGTTAAGTCATTATTTATACAAATATTTTTTATCCATTTGCTTTATAAATTATTTTGGCAAATATTAATTTTTAAAAACAATTAAATTGAATCGTTAAATATAAAAGAAAACAGAATTTTAATTTTCTCTTAAATTATCTCTTTTTTCGGCTCAAGTTCTAGAACACGGTTTAGAGCAGGGCTGACCAAAAGTTTAGATTTTTGCAAACATTTGTTTGGCAGTAAAAGTAATCAAATGGCAACACTGTGTCAGACGTGTTACATATCTATCTGAAACGTTCTCTAACACAATTTTGCACAAGTGCACAAATAAAATAAAATATTCGTCGATATTTACATTTGTGTGTAACAGTCATATCGTCTGTGCAAAGATCTGCCACTTTATAATGGCAAGCAAGTTGACTTGCAAATATTATTCATTTGGTGTGGGTTTGGCAAAGCGACGAGCGGGGAGCATCTTACGCAGCTATTTTTTAGAGTTGTACTTACATAAGAGAAGAGAGACATTTCTCTTAAGAATTT